TCCTCTCACTGGAAAAAGTATAAATCTAGGTAATTTTTTTCTTGAAATAAGTGCATTTTTTTCTTGGATTGAGAAGGTAAAAAGTACATTTTGCAAATAGAACAAGACAATTTACATTTAAAATAAGAAAACACAATTGCATTGTCTTATTTCAAGTGCATATTATCTTATTTTAAGAATAAAAATACTCATTCCATTGGCAAACTATCTCATTTACCCACTCAATTTAGGGGAAAATACACTTAATTGAAATAATTTTGACTTATTTATAGATTGTTTCTCCAGTGCTTTTTCTAAGCCATGACAAGTTGGGACTTTTTAAAAAGAATCTCAATGTGTCATGGTCCAAATGTATCAATCAGCTCGGGTGAAGGCTACTTCAGGATCCACATTTTCACTTTTCTGCATTACATTATCACAGAATATAGGAAACAGCATAGATATTACAGAAAACAAATGTTTCTCCATTGCTAATTAAAATACATGAGAAACTGGAAGATGACCACGAGAGTAACAGTACAAGAGTAAGAACTGTTACAAACTTCAGCAGGTTTTATTCAATATATACATTAGTCTCAAAATTCTCCAGAGGTCTGGCATTGATAAAGAAACACAGATAAAGAAAAACTTTTTGGTCTAACGAGGCATTACTTTTCATTTACAAATCAGCACTTCTGATAGCCTCAAACACCAAACTGATAACACAGTGAAGGATGATGGGGAGGACATGAGGTTGTTTGGCTCAATAGAATACCCACTTCTATTGAGCCAACCCGTCCTGTTCTGCAAGAAAGCTGATAATGAAGTGGGATTTCATTTTTCAGAATCTCTTTGAGTCTCAATGATGTGTCAGAAGAAAACATAAAACCAAATGTAACCATTAGTAGTCGTAGTTTTGAAAGAGCCTTACCAGTGTGCAAGTCAAAATCTGGGAGAAAATTTGTGGAGAACTGTTTACAAAAGATTGTGTTAATGTGAGACATATAAAGCACATCTGCAAGAAAGGTTCATAAAATAAAACTAAAGAAAAATGCTAAAAGTTGATCTGAGGTTCTCCAATGAAGCCCGACATTTTAATGCTTTTTCTTCGCTTTTCACGGTCTAATACATTTTAGATGTTACATTATTCCTTTTGAATATATTAATTTTGATGTATTTTTTTATATTACAAATACCTGCTTTTTTTTAAAAAGGATGTACAGTATAAACCTTTGACTATTCATTCTTGTATTCAATAAAGTAAGGACAAAAAGAGCAGTGTTTTGAGTTCATGAGTGATTCATCAAGACCGGAGTGGTTTCTGTATTTACTGAGAACACAAACAGATGAATATGTGGATCATTTTTGGCAGGTACAACAGGAGCCACGTCCACATATTTCTATCTGGTCTGTGTCCTCCCCCTGAATATATTCAAGAGGCAACACCACAGAGTGGGATGGCTAAAGTGCAGCAGGCACTGACCCAGGTTAATATGATTAAAACACTTCTCAGTGCCAGTGTCTGCAGTCAGAGAGGCGTGCAGGGTGCTGAATGGGGAAAAAAAAAGCAGAAATCCTCTGAGAGTTTTACAAAGCTGAGTGTGTGTGTTGGAGGGGGGGTGGGGGGTCAGGTTGGGGGTGAGGTACTGTAGCTGCTGTATAAGCAGCTGTGCTGAGGCCTGTTCTGAGGCTGCAGAGGTAGCTCTAAGTGTGATTTCCCCACAGTCTGTTTCTGCAAACCCCAAGTCAAATCAGCATCTTTTGTAAAGTTACTCATGTTCTGCAGAAACTCTAATTATTGACTTTATACACAAAACAGATAGAATTAAATTTTTTGGAAAACACAATGACTGGCTGGGATTTACGAAAAGAAGAATCACTGTGTAATCACACAAAAAAGAAAACGACAATCTGTGATTGGATTGCTTTTCCTAAATGATTAATGGATGACCCAGGACCCACAACAGACCTTAACAACCCGAGTTGGTCAGGGCAGCAGGGAGGTGTTAATAAAATGTCTGCATTTGCTGCTCAAAATTTTGGAATGTTTTAACTTGAAGATCTTCAAGCACTGTGCAAGCTTTATTTCATGTCAATACAGTTTAAGATTCTGCTCACTGTTTGATCAAGGAGCACTAAACAAGCCGGGGTGGATGCATCGTCAGTCCTTTGGTAGTCTGAAGTGATCAAAGTACACAGCAAGTATCTTTGTGCAGGATTTATTAGTGTCATAATTAACAGTCTATTACAGCAGGCAGGTTTTGGAAGGAAGTCCTTTAAGCCCTTTGTGTGCCTCTCTAAACTGATATCTTAGGTAGCTGTGTTTTGTCTGATTTGGGCTTTGCTTTCAACAGGAATCTGTCAGCGCTGTGAAGTGAATACAAAACTGTGACAAAGCATTCGTATCCCTTGAAATACTCTAAATTTAATAATGTCACAGCCACATTTTTCAATGTATCTTATTAGGATTTTATGAGACAGAAAAGTGCATAATTAGAAAGTGGATGCAAAATGATTGCCTTTAATTTTATTGCCAATAACAATCCAAAAAAAATGCACATGTATGCAGACCCTTGTACACCCATATCCCTCTATAGATTCAGAAGCAACCTACTAATGTCCATCACTTGATTCATGAAAATAGTCCACATACAGTATATGTAATATAACATCAGTATAAATACTTGTGTTCTGTGAAAGCTTCAGAGATTAATATCAAAAGCATCTATTGACAGTAGTATAGATACCTTCCGAGAATCAGATATTTTTGGAAAAGTTGCAAGAAGAAAGCAGATGCTGAAAAAAAAGCAATAAGATATATTTTTTCTGAGGGTTTTGTCTGCTATGTATGGGGGAGTGTAACTGTTTAGAGATTTTCAAGCTCTACAACCTTGCTGGGCAGGTTCTTTTCTTTCCTTTTTTTATTTAAAGATATTTTTTTCTTTAATAGTGCCACTGTTTTTGTTGCATGACATTTGAAAGAGGGAGAGGGGAAATGTGGTATAGGTCATATTTATCTCTCCAAAACGGGGGTTACCAATGCTGTGCCAGTGGGCACCAAGGGGCCCTAAAGAACCACATGGCTTGCCCTCAGCATCTTCTCAAATCAGCCCAACACAAATCAGCCCAACACACTATATAATGTTTTATATTTATATCACAGCTGTATTTTCATCGATTTCAACATGACAATATCTAAAAGAATATTAGAAATGAAAAGAAACATCAAAAATATGTTTATTATGCAGGAAGTGAATGTGAATACTGAATTCCCCAGTTCATAGGTCAGTATTGGTAGCACTATAAGATGGCTGCAGTAGCTCTAAACCTTAACGAGGTTGATGACCTTTGCTCTAAATGATCCCTAAATGTATCCATACCCTGTATTTGTTTTTTTTTTCTCCAAGGTAACTGGATGATTGGAAGTGGAGGGGTGAATATCAGGAAATTCCACATTGTTATAATGCAGTGTCAAAGGACAATGACTCTTTTAGAGTTATTACAACAACTGGAGTAAGATATGCACTATGTAGAGAATTTGTTTAACACTAATTCAGAGTGGGACATAATGCACTCTGATTGATGTGAAATTTAGCTCTGAAAGTGTTACTAAAGCTGTCATAGCCCAAACTCTGACCTTCAAATGCAATTATAGAGGATTTTTCGTTCTATTGACTTAATGGGATGTAAATATACCCATTTTTTTTCTTTCAAAAATTGATCAGTTCCTTCTACTTCACCAACTGCTCAGATATAATTGTTTTCCATCTATCACCTAAAGTTGCACTGCACGTAGTCTAAGTTTAGGATTGTCACGGTTTTGGTTCTAAGTTTTATCTTTGAGTTTTCATTGGTTTTATTTCTGTTTTGTGTCATTCTGTTTATTTTTTAATTGTATTTGAGTTCTTAGATATTTTTTGTTTGCCCTCTGTTACCCTCTTGTGTCAAGTCTCCTTATTTTTACTCCCTTATAGACTCCTCCGTTCACACCTGCTCCCAATCTACTGATAAGCCTTTGTTTCTCTCTCCCATATATGCACCTCCTGCTCAGTCACTGTTGCCAGTTTGTCCCACTTGTTTTGAGTATCCCTGGTTCTCAGTTTTTGTGGATTTGTTCCCTTAGCAAAAAAGTAGTATACTTGAAGTAAATTCTATTAAGAATACTTAAGTATAACATTACAAAGTATACCGAACACGGTACTTGTAGTGTACTTGAAGTATTACTAAAGTAATACTTCTTAGAACTAAATTGGAACATTTTTAAGTTTACTAAAGTAAACTTAAAGTATACTTTAGTAAACAATAAAGTAAACAATAGCATAGTCAAGTACACTTGACTATACTATTTTTGAGTATAAGAAATATAGTTTAGAATAAGTAAACTCTAAGTGCACTGTCTGATTTTAAGTATGAAATTAGTGCACTTTTAGTATACTTTATTAAACCACTTTTTGCTAAGGGTTTCTTGGATTTATGCTTCTGTTACCCTTTTTTGTTATTGCATTTTCAAGAAACTACTTCAGCTTCAGTATCTGTATTTGGGTCCTCTCAAACCTCCACTTCACTGTGCTTGGGGTTAGAAGTTGATGATATAGGGAAAAAAAATAAGTTTTTACTTTCCTGGTGGCTATAGAGAGAGACCTTTAATGAAGTTAGTTTTCTCCACTCCACCAATGTTTGTTTCCGGTCTGAAATTAATTCTTAAATGAGCCACCAAAGCGTGCAATGGAAGTTACATAATTGGCTGATTGAAATGTACTTTGAGTTGCAGTGTATGAGGGGGGGAAAAGTTATAACCTCCACGCATTCCGGATCACTTCGTCTGTTAACATATATTCACGCATATTTTCACAGTTCAGCAACTAACAGGGCTGCTCTGCCGAGTGGAAGTGTTTTTGCCGCTTAAGTACTCGCGGCGTGCATCTCTTCCAGTCAGCCTAACGCGGCCCCTGAATATTCATGATAGTGGCTCTGAACGTCAGGACGCAGCGGCGGCTCTTCCTCCCTGTCAGAGAGCAGAGCGGAGCAGAGCGGCTGAGCAGAGGAGGGACAACAAACCTCACAGCCCGGCTGCATTTCTCCCACCAACGAAGTGCGACTTTGTCATTTAAGGGCAAATCTGCCCTCCATCCATCTCCAGGCTGCAGCGGCGACGAAGGGATGCTGCGATTTACGGACTGGGGGAGGTGAGAAACAGAAAAGCAAGGGAGAGATAGGGAAACACCGCCTCTTCTCTCTCTTTTTTTAAAGCGAGCCCATATTTATTGGACGCACCTCGGGTTCATATCTGAAGAGCGGGAGGGATCGAGTGACCGCCACCGTCTTCTTTCCAAATATGCAAAAGAAAAACACAGAGAGGAAATGCTTCAGAACAAGCAGCCATACCATTTTGGTACCTTTATGATGGAGGAAACATATCAGGGTTAACAAAGCTTGCAGCTTCCCATGTTGCGGGGGAGAGATGTTTTGCAACTGTCGTCCGCTGTTTAGAAGAGGTATGCATCCCATGGCATCATCCTTCGCCTGTAACGCGTAACTCAGGCAGCTGCGCTCTGGAGGAGCATGTAAAGCTGTTCCTGCTGAAGCCAGTGATAAAGAAACCGTACTCCGGCTGGAGCAGAGCAACCTTTTCCTCCGGTCCTGAACTTCCGTGAGATGACTCTGAGCGGAGCCTCCTGAGCTGTCCGCGGTGCTGAATGAGCCAGTCATCACAAAAAGCTGCTCTACGCATGGACAACTGCTGGGCTTGACTGAGTCAGCCAGACCAGTATTCCCTTCTTTCATGGCTGTGGCACGGAAAATCAAAACTTTGCTGACCGTCAACATCCTTGTGTTCGTGGGGATCATCCTGTTCTCGGTGTACTGCAGGATTCAGGACCGATCCGAGGAGCTGATCCAGCTGGGGCGCCTCTCTGACCAGAGGCTGAGAGCCAGGAATGGAAAAGTTTCCAACTCGGTGGACAGGCAGTCTATTCTTCAGCGGCTGGAAAGGCTGGAGGATGTGGTCTACAATCAGTTAAACGGTAGGACTGGACATAAAAGTAGTGACTTCCTTATGGTTACAATTATCAGTTTAAATAGTGCATAAATGAAACAAACTGTTTTAATGACACATTTAAACAGATATGGATATTTCAAGTAGAATATTCTAACATATTAATAGTTGTACTGATTTTTAACTATAAGATATTGCAGCAGGTCTATACATCTCTACCTGGATATGTTTTATTGAAGATGCTGGAAAAAGTCCACAGGCAAGCAAAAGAGTAACACACACTTATATTAGTGCAAGGTGTGCTTTCAGTCAGAGAGATGCTCTGATTAAGGTCTTTCTGATATGGAGTCTCATAACAGCGACATATTGCACAGATGCAAGTCTATTGAAATCTTCTCGCTGTCTTTGGATTGTCTTATAAAAGAAAAAAAAAGATCCTGCTGCACTTAAATAACAAAAGTTTCATTTCTAGTTAAAAGAGAATAGCAACTTTCCCTTTAAACAGAACATACTTACACGAATTAGATTGTTTTTTAATCGAAGAAATAAGAGCAGCCCATACTTAAATAGATTTTTTTTTTTGGCAGCAATAGCTTCTGTGAAATGCTTTTAGCAGATTTACTAGTCTCTGATATCAGACTGATAGTTTACCTAACTAAAGGTTTCTAATAGATTGTCCGACATTTTCCTCAAGAACTTTAAGATATCGAAATTCACAATTGGATCCATCCATCCATCCATCCAATATTGACAATATTGGATGGTATGCACTGTACATTTTTATAATTTTGTAAAAACAACAACAACAACAACAACAAATAAAACCCAAATAGAATAAAAAAGGCAGGTTGTAATAATACAAAGGCATTAATTGCTCTAACTGAGTCTCTTACTACTCTGGCAGCAAAGTTTTCATTGTGTTTAGCAGAGAGAAAGCCTTGGGAAAGAAACCATTTCTCTGTCAGTTTGCTAATGCCACCAACGCTGTGTAGTGCTTCCCAAAGGTAAAGGTTTGAACAGCCTATGATCAGGATATGTGGGGCTCAGTGGAAATGTTCCTTTTTAAAAGTTTGTTTTCGTGCAATACTTTGTTAAATCTGTCCTTTTTCTTGTCTGAGAATAGCAAAACATTTAAACCATTTTTAAGACATTTTTCCAGGACTCTTGTTTTTTTTTTTCTCTAAAAAGCCTCAGCCTTTTATTTTGTCTTTCTTTCCTTTTTTACTGGTCAATTTATTTCCATGGGAGGGCTTCCAGAGGGTTCTCACCAGCTTTTTATTCGTGGGCATATGGCAATGCTTTCGACAAATATTTAAAAATTTGTCTTTTTCTCTTCTCCTCTCAACAATCCTGTTTTCTTTTCTTTTTTTTTTTGGGTCTTTTTTCCAAATTGGAAGGTTCTGTCCACAACTCCCCTTAATAAGCAAAACACCAGATTGACCCAGTAGGAGGTTTTGGTCTAGTAAAATACCACTGACCACCGGCCAGTTCGGCTTGAGAGTCACACCTCATGTATTCATCTGCGAGTCTATCTGATAGGTCTTTCTTTTGTCTTTTTGTCTTTCTTAACACTTTTTTCACAGTTCTGACTTGTCCTCAGACATTTCTCTAGTATATGTGCAAGAAAGGGGGTAAAACTGTTTAAAAACATAATATCTGCAGCTGATACACTCATTAAAATTTGCTGTTACACTTAAATATGCCATTGAGAACCCTGAATTGCTTCCTACAAGCCTCCTTTGGGATTGAAACTCTCAAATCATCAGCAACAGGACCTGAAATAGGTATTCTAGGATTTGTGGGGGGTTCTTTTGGCATCTTGCAGTCGGCCTTTAGGGTGACCTTGGTTTAAAAGCAAACCTGGACCTGTTGGCATTTATTATGATGTTTTATTTTTAAATATATTGTAATGATGCCAGTTACGCCGAGGTAATGCCGTCAACAGGTTTTATTTAACAAAAGGAGCTGTTATTTCTGAGGCTACAGCTCACGCCCCTCACAACATGGCTAGCACACGCGAAAACCCTGTAGCTCCTCAGTTAGCCTCCTCAACCCGCTCAACACTTCCGGTCCTGGAACCGCTGCTCTCCCAGCTCCCCCCCATGCGATATAACAGGCCTATCACATGAAAGCAGGAGCTAGCCGATTCAGGCAAAGGAAACACATAAAGAAAGGAACCGAAAACACATTACCATATGGACCCCAATAGAACAAAACACAGAATCGTTACAATATTTTAAGTAAAGTCAATGGCTTAGTTCAAATTCTATTGAGCCTTTTGCTCGACTTCCCTTACCAGAAACAAAAGCTGCTGCAACCATGTTTCTAAAGGCTTTAGGGACCTCTTTTAGACTTACCATAGTGTTAATGTTCTCCTTGCCACCAGGAGCTGCCAAAGTTGTCAAAAAAGTGCCAAAACCTATCTAGAGTAAAACTTCTCTCTTTTGAGAAGGTATAAAAGGTTTCCTAATCCCTTCATCACCAACTTCCATATTTAGTAACTTTCTATTAAAAATATCATTGCTTTCCTTGTTTATTTGATATTGCTTGAATTTCTTTGTATTTTCAAAATGTTAAACATCTATAGGTCCAAATACATTAGAAAAGCACAGACTGTCATCACGTCTCCTATCTTTACAAGACTATAACCTTTCAAGGACTCTAGAATATTTGGCCAACACATGCTGCAGTCCTGTGAGTGCGTCCTTGCATGCACCATGATTCATGGATATTTTTCTCCAATCTTGCAGCCCTGTTTTTGTTTTTGTGAAACACCTAAAATAGAATGTTTCAGTTGATGATAATGGCTGATGCTTTATTTAGAGGCTAATGAGGCAGGGTTATCCATTAGAGCACAATGCCATCTGTATAGTATATGCCGTCCATTCATACTTTACTGTGCCATATTCTTTAACAACCTTCCCCAGTAAGTGACTTGTTACAAACTTCACAGTCACTCTAAGTGTTTATGTCTGTAATGTTGTACACATTACACGCTAAGATAACAAATGTTTGCATGGCAGCAGCTGCACTAACAAACATTATTTGTCAGGTGGCCTGTTATCTAAAGGACAATATGTTGGAAAGGTCTTACAATAGAATCACAAATTTGATTTCCAATTTAGTGGCATTAGTTTGTGTTTTGGTCACATCAGCAGAGCTACATTGCATAAAATCCGTTTATATCTGACCTTCATACTTACATCCACAGCTAAGAATGAATAATTTTCTATTTCGATAAATGCTTTAGGTCTGAGCTGTGGTGCCTTACAAAGGTATTCATACCCCTTGAACTTTTTCCTATTTTTACATGAGATAGCAAATTTTTTTTAAATTTTCCATAGAGAAAATAACACAATATGGGTATGAAGTTAAGCTAAAATGACATATGGTTTTCAAAATCATTTACTGTTAACAATCTTAAATGTGTTGTAAGAACGTGTATGTTTTTGCTGCAATTAGTTCATTTGTAAATTTATTTGGAGTATTGCTCTACTGTGGAACTAAAATATTTGCCCGTTTTTCCCAGAAGGAAATATTAAGCAAAGTCTTATTGTAAGGATTATGACAAAACATTATTTTTTTAAAACCGTACCACAGATTTCCAATTAGATTTAGCTGTGGTCTTTCACACTAGATCCTAACACGTGAACGTGGCCTCTTCTAAATTAGATCTTTGCAATACTTTTTAATTGTGATATGTTTTTTGAAAATGACAATATCCAGTATGATTACCTATAGTTTTATAGCTTTATATATATATATATATATATATATATATATATATATATATATATATATATATATATATATATATATATATATATTAAACAACATCCCCTCCATACTGTTTTAGATATGGCATCCCAACCATAAAAAAGTTAAAAGTAAGTTAAATAACCAGGCTGGAGTATGAAGGAAATTTAGAGTCCATTTAACTGGTCAAGCCCAATATATAGAGGATGTATCTGTAGCACTTGATTTATATTATTCTACTAAATATTGTATCAAAGCAGTTTTTGTGATTACATTGTTGCATACATTTTTATCGCATTAACGATTACAATCTAATTTATCAGCTCTAATCTAAACTATTTCATCCAACAACCCTACTGTATGCAACTTCTTCAGAAGACTGTAAAACAACAACACCATGGACAATAGTGCTTACAGTTAGTTTTAATTTCAGGATCGATAAAGTATTTTAAAACTGAATTTAATTTCATTATGGATCTTGCATAAAGATTTGGGGTGATAGACTGACTGGAAGGTTCTGTAGCTTCTATAATGTGTTCTCCCTGGACTTTCTTATTTAGAGCTTAACCAGCCTTCCCATAAACTCTGAACATCTCTCCTTCCCTTTTAAAGGAAAAGCATTCCCACAGCACAATACTGCCACTATCATCTACAGAGCTAGGTTTTTTTTTTTTTCTTTTTTCACCAGATCTACTGTTTAGCATGCAGGCCAGACAGTTATCTGCAAAATATTGACACCGTGGGTATTTCTGTTTAGATATAAGATAGTAAAGGTAAACACATTGTGTGGATACGTTCTTTTCATATTAATTAATATTCCAGCAGTCATTTTTAGTAAACCAACACATGATTAATTAAAATCTAATTTACTACAGTATGTGGCATTTAAGATGAACAACTTTCTTTTAAAAAAAATATTTTTTTTGTAACTCTTTTGTAAAAATGAATAGTGAATAATTCCACATTTTCTTGTGCCTCACACTGTTACAATTAAAGATGCTATTTTTCATACAAGAAAAAGTATTTTTTCCTAGTATGTTGAATTCATCCACTGAAAAAGTAAAATGTTCTCAATCTTGCAACTCACACAGGACTGCTTTATCAGTTGCATCACGGACAGATCCTACAGCATTAGTGACGGTAGGCTGATTTGCTGATTAAAAGAATTAGATAAACAGAAAATGTCAGACTTACCAAAATAATATTCTGACTAAAATACATAATCCTAAACAAAACAATGGGAACACTACCATTTCTTGTAGGTAGTTAAAA